GGAGCCCCTAGTAGCGTCCTTGCTCCTAGTACCCTTTGCTCCTAGTAGCATCCTTGCTGCTAGTAGTAAGACCAGGAGCCCCTAGTAGCATCCTTGCTCCTAGTAGCAATGCCCTTTGCTCCTAGTAGCGTCCTTAAACCGGAATATCTTGCATTTTTATTGATGAATATTTGTTTCATTGAAATCCAGGTTTTTTGAGGTGCCTGTCTTCCTTTGTGCGACGGTGTTCCTTTTCGCAATCTCAGAGTCTGAGTCTAAGGATCTGCCAGTGAAGGGGTAGCACAAGACTACAAAGTGCAAGGCTGCTCGATTGCTTCAAGTTGACGGGGAGTACGGTATATGTCCGCTAAGTCAGTCGGAGCCATCAGTTTCTTCAGGGACTAATGTCTGCAGACGGGGCAGGGCGGGTGTGGTTCATGAGGCTTGCCGCTACAAATTCATCCGAGATTGACAGATTGTCAAGCTCGTTGCACTACCCAGGTTTCCGCTTGATTGGTATTTTCTCGAAGGGCATCTATGACAGCACCTGGCTTGCAGAAAGGCTTTGATGAACTTTGAGGGAGTTTGTGGCAGTTGCAGACACGTTTGCCCGTTTGCCGTTTTGATTGTTGTGTCCGTCGCTTAGCCAGAAAGTCCAAGGAGAAAAGTTTAGAAGCCAGGACCTTTTCGTGACAAAGTACAAGCAGAACCCGCAGGCGCTTGCATAGGGCATAAGGTAGTTGTATGGCATTGTATGGCTCTTTTGTTGTTGACATGTTTCTAGACTTACCGCCATGTGACTTTTCCACCTCTTTAATAGACACAGCTTCAATTTATACTATATATATAGTTGGGCAGCTCTGGTTCGGCTTGATATTTCTCACGCTTCTAAATCAGAGGTTTCAACTCAGTAACAACTTGGGCAAGCTGCTCTTCCTTGTTTTGCGGTACGCTTTGTGTGTGTGCCTTCGCAAGGCAATTCTCAAGGAGATAAGCAACGGTGAGAGCTTGCCTGTGCGGTTAGAGTTTCAAGGGAAGGTGCGACCATTCTCCTGTGGCTCGGAGACTCTATGTGTTGCATCAAGAAGCGCATTTTGCCATTCTTATAGTAGATAAATTGCTATACATGTAATTACTGACCTGTCATGACTGGCTGAGGTGAGTGCATCATCTTGGGCATTTTTTGCTGCATTTTCCTGGCCTTCATCTTGCAGGTTGGGCACTGTGCAGCTTTCGGTTTTGAAGAACAACGCATGGAGTGGTGGACCTGACAGGTTATGCGGGTGGTGGATTCCTACAGCCTCGCCGAGATCCATCGAATTGCTTTGCTGGACAACGAGTGGTATGAATACCACCCCACCCGCATCATGAATTTCAGGAGAGCTTGGCCGAGCTGCAGTATGCGAGGAAATGTCCAGCCTGTTGCCTACTTTGTGTGGAACCTTAATGTAGCCCTCTTTGGGTGGCAGTGGGGTGCGGCGCATACCTCTACAAATTCTAATTCATGCACGCTCGTCACAAGATCTCACAAGTGGTTTGACCCCTTCACATCTTTTAATTACTAGGTTGACTGCGGATGTTGCTTTTTCGTGCGTCCACACGGCGAACTCCTGCCAACGAAAGCACACTTTCCTTATCTTTCCTTTTTTCGAGGAACATGTCACTGGTGCCACGGAGCTTCAGCTCATGGATGAGAGAAGCTGTTTTCGAGGGGGAGTTGGGCTGCGTGAGCACCCTCAATGATGTCAGGCGCCTTTTGACGCCTTTTATGTCGCACACCCAGTTGATGCGCCAACTTTGTGCACGGAAAACTATGTGAGTCAGAGTATTCTTGTTATTCTTTTTGGGGGGGGTGCGCGTCTAAAACTCTGCCGCGAAAACCGTACGATTTTACTGATTTGCCTCCCGCGTGCCAGTACTTGCATCAGCGAAAGTTCGGATGGGAATGAGCTGGTGCGAAGCAACTGGCGTCTTGGCGAATACCGCTGGTTGTTGTCACAGAACTGTCGACAAAAGAGATAAAGAGCTACCAGGGGCTCCTGGCCTTACGACTGGAACAAGAAGCTACTAGGAGCAAAGGGAATCGCTACTAGGAGCAAGGACGCTATTACAAAAGAGCCAGAAGTCGGTGATGGTTGCCCTGTCGGCAAGTTTTCGATCGATTGTACGTTGTCGCTCTTGTAACTGTTGTACCTTGAATGCTTGTTTGCTCTACTGGAGGCAGCTCTACGTCCATACCAGCAACTCAGAGAACTTCTTGAAACTGAGATCATTGCCAGAACTCGCCAGTTGGCCTCTCAGATCCTTTGATAGTCCACTCTTCCTGTCATGGCCCTCGCATGAGAGTTTAAAAGCAAAATGGACTTGCCTGGAACGTTTGATACCTAGTGAATCTCATGATGCTTGATGCACTCATTTAATAGTCTAATTGTCACAGGTTGGTTGAAGTTGAAGCATTGGCGGAGCGATTGTTCCACGCACCTTTGTCAGAGGCCTAGATATTACAAATACTGCTCAAGATGCTGAAGGCCGGGAACTAGTTCACTTTGTTAGTTCGGTCTTTTTAGCTTTTTGCACTTTGAACTCAGAACTGCACCGTTTCTTTGGTATGCTAGCATATTCAATCATGTTTTGCCTTGTTCTCAGTGCGGGAGCTCTGTGCACTTATGACCTGTGCTTTCTTGCAGAACAGGGTGATAGAAGAGTCATACCATTCCATATTTGTTTTGTACACTTGTCACTTTCATGTTTCGTGCTTCCAAGATGCAACTGAGACAGACTGCTAGGTATGGTTGCTGGGTTTATACCAAAGATCTTTGGCTGCAGCTCAATGGTTGACTGTTGGGGGAAACCGTAGTGACCAGCAATGCATTGCATTGCTTGTTGCCGGGCCGCGGGTGACTACTGTGGCTGAGGTAGGACTCATGCTTAGTTTGTGGCCAATGTAGTTTATATAGCTGCGGGATGCAATATAGTGCTGGCGTACTATAGCAGAGACGTTCCTGTTCACTTCCTGCGTTTTTGATTTTTGGCATATGTATTCGCATCATTTTGCGATGATTGATGATCAGTAAACTTTGTCACCCAGCAGGGGTCCAGCAGAATCTGACTACGCTCAGCCTAAAAAGCTAGGGGCCTCG